TGCAAAAAAATGCACGGGGGGGGAGGCGGGTGGGGTGGGGGGGGCTCGCAGGGAGGAGAGGAGGAGGGTGGAAGTGAAGCCACTTGCTGAGTGTGGGGAATTTGAGGTCGGAAATGGTGCTCGGGCCATTTGTATTCCACCTGCAACAGGCTTAGTTGGCTGTAGCAGGTGGATTTAAGAGATCGGTGAACCTGTGTGTGTGTGTGTGTAACACAGACATGGAAGTAGGAAGGACGCCAGGCCCACCTCCCAACATCAGAAGTAAAACTCTGATCATGATTCTGTTCTTCCAAAAGCCTTGTTGTCATTTAAAAATACAGTGGGTGTTCTAAATGAGACACACTATACTGTATCAATTAAAATCACAACTTTGGCAGATGGTTGACTGAGCATGCAGCCTCTAACAGCAAAACACAGATTTCTATTGGTACTGGAAATGCCCAGAACAAGCAGACTTTCAGCGTTGGCCACTGAGAAGCAATGCAGGAGGAGTTCTATCTGGAAATTCACCACTGCCCTATGTGGTTCTATCACAGTGCAATCTGTCCTTCATGCAGCAGAATACGTAGTACAATCCACAATAACTTTTAAAGCAATCTTTTATGTCTATACAATTTATATTGTCGTGAGTGGCTGTCAATATCTGTCAATATCAAACCCTTACCATAGGCTTTACTACTGTATAGTCCATTATTTTTCCACAAATTTAATTAAAAATTTTGCATTACAGTGCCATTCAAGTCTTTTAATTAGATCGCACATGATAAAAGGGCAGCTGGTTAAATTTATGATATTTTTTCACCATCTTTGGTGCTAAGCATACATGTGTTCCAGCCGTTGTGTTTCTACATTTTTCTAATGTTGTGAGCTATTATTCTAAACATTTTCTGTTTCTGAAGTCTGAATTTATGGAGGGAACAAAGCTCTGTTCAGACACAGTATATGTAACATTGCTCACACAGGCATCTGTTATATAAATATTCCTTGCAGCTTTATTCCACCGGCATAACGCTTGCGATATTTGACACCTGGTGCGCCAAAAGGAGCCGCGATGTGAAACTTAGAACTGCATCACTGATGGATTTTAGAGCTTATTCTTCTGTCGAAGACATAACTGACTACATTCGTTCCCTATATTTATTTCCTGGGAGACTTACCCTAACCGTTGCTCTCATGCAAGTAAAACATTTTGCTGGATATGTATTCATTCATCTACAGAGTTCACATGAATGAATATGGAAAATATAGAGGAGTGTTACTTGTTGTGATCAAGTCAGACTACCATCAGGGCCCGTAGAAGTAATGTAATGTGAAATTGACTTGTTGCTTACTCAGACTCCAGACTGACATGTTAAATTGCCATCACATTTGCATAACAAGTCACATGTCTGAAAGAGGCTTTAGTCATGGTGGGTCTTGCAGTCACAAATGAATGGGACACACAGCACTTTAAAGCACTACAGCATAATGTCACTCAAAATAGAAACCAGTAAAACAGACTGTATATTTTAGCCTTAACCAGATTTTGCAAATAAAACATGGTGGAACTGAGTGTGGAGAAATAACTGAAGTGGAAGCCATTGTAATGCAATATAGCTGCTGTCAGCTGGGTGAGGATTGAACACTGTGGGCCTGCTGACCTGGGCAGCTATAAAGCAGTGAGAGCTCAGACACTAAGTGCCTCACAACTCAGCTTTTGTCAGCCTGGCAGTGGAAGGAGGGGGAGGCAGAAGAGAATGAGAAATAAGGATAAAAAAAGGAAACACAAAATGAGAACTGGTTTTTGTGCATGGAGGCGTTTAAATGTTGCACTGTGCAGGAAGGGTGAGAAGTAGAGAACTGTGGCAGATCGATGGGTCAAAAATAAAAAAGCTGCATTTTTTTCTCAGTGTGTATGCGTGTGTGTTTTAATTATATCAAACGCTCACCGTTCCTCTGTCCAACCAGCGATCTCACATTGCTCTCATCAGCCACTACAACACAAAAAACACAAAATCACACAGTAAATACCAATATTACTAGAAACCACACACACTGAAATACAGAGTAGAAGATACATAATTCCAGTGCTTTGTAAAGGGTATCTACTGGTGCTGGTACATACTGCAAATGACTTGCAGGAGGAGAGGATGAGCAAGGGACAAGATGACAGACTGAAAGAGGAAATGAACTAGAAAGAAGTCAGAACAAAGACAGATATTGTGATAGTGAGAGAAAATGAGAACAGAGGTTAAACAATGAGAGAAATAATAAAAGGAGGAAGAAGAAAACAAGGAGACACCCCCAACCACCACCACCTAATCTAACTACTCAGCAGCAGCCGCCACAGGTGGTGCACCGTGGGATACAATAATAAGTTTTCATTTTGCTGCTATGTCTCTTAAATAATCGTTTTCATTTTTTATGAGGTCAATTTTCCCAGCAGACAGATTGGTGAGGGAGCGAGAAAATGACATGAAGAAAGAATATTGGAGGGATGGAGAAAGAGGATAGACCAAAAAAGTGACAAGCAGTGCGGAGAGAGAGCAAGAAGAGACGGATGCAGTGTGACAGCGTGCGTCTGGAAAAATGGCTTGAAAAAAAAAAAAACACAATCAGTGACAATCAACATGAAATCAAAAGAGGTTGCTTCATAAAACAATGTCCTGCAGAGGCACATCTGTGGCCACCAAGACAAAGGAACATAGCTATCTTTCTTGTGTATGTGCCAGATAAAATAAAAATAATACTTTTAAAGTCTGTAAAAAAAAAAAACTATTCCAGGCCACATGACCCTACCAGATAATGAAACGCCTCCTTTTCTGTGGAGGAAATATAAAAGTCTCCATGGCCAGCAGCCAAGTTTGTCTCCCCCTGCCACAGTGGAAGGCTAAACATGTAAAATGTCTTTTTTAACCTCCAGTTAGCTGCCTTGCAGTGGTACAGCATATACTGTATATTTACTCTAATATTGGACAACGTAACTACTGTACATACTGTAGCTCAACATGTGTTTGCAAAAGCATTAAACCGTACTTAGTATTACCATGGTAACCGCAGGTGTCACCAAATCAGGCAGAACATTGCACTGAGTGAAGACGACGTTGTGCACTAATCACAGGTGAATGCAACAGAACATATCTGTTGTCCACTGAGCACGGGGTCAGGGGATGAATAATGATGGAAGTCAGGTACTTTCTACTCAATTACCCAGATTATTTTTAATTCAACCTGAGCTAGTGCACACCTCATGACTTGGATTGCAAACTAGCGCATGGGCCACACGGTTCCTAAAAGGTCTAATGTTTCAATGCTATTTGAGCTACTTAAATTATAGCTTTTTAGCCATTATCACTCATCCAGTGGAATCAATTTGCGAGGGAATCAATTTGCGAGAGACTCACTGTCACACTTGCCTGAAAAAGTTCTATACTGGAGTGTTTTATCTTTTATATTTGCAAAATATGCAAGTAAAAGCAAAAGCCCTTCCTACTGGCGCTTTCAGGAGCTCGTGATGCAGTAGAGAAAACTGAGACATCATTGTAAGATTCTTTGGAACAAATCCTGAGTGTAGCTAGAATGTCAGTGACTCCACTATTCATCTCAGCATGGGCAGACATTGTGTGTGAGGATTTCTCTGTGTGAGTGGAAGCTCTGAGTCAACAGACTATTTGCTAAGGTGTCCAAGGTCAATAAAACCAGCTCTCCTTTATCTGTCAAGTGGTTTAATGTAAGCTAACCTGCACTGTGGCACTACTAAAGCTAAGATGCATAAAGACGGACATATGGGAAACTCTACAGAAGAAGAAAAAAAAGGATTTGGTTCTCTAAATACAAACTGTCTAGATGAGGTCAGCATCTGAGGTCTTGTATGTGTTCAGAGCTACTGCCATCTTTACTCATGCACACACACACACATACACACAGAGCTCTGTTAACTACCTTGTTTCAGCCTTGAACACCTCAGAGAGGGAAGGGATGAATCAAACCAGAGAGATAACATAAAAAAGGCAGGAAAATATAGATTGAAATGGAGGATGGCCAGAGATAGAGGGAGAAGCCAGTGAGGGGAGATAGACAGTGGTGGGCACTGGAGTGGGTCCACATTGGGATAGAGTAGGGTGTGTGCGTGCAGTTGCGTGTACAGAACACCCTTGTCCATAATGAAAACCAATCAGCTTGGGTGGCAGAGGCATGTGCTGCAGGAAGAAAGCCAATCCACTGAACCTAATGAACCAGGATTGGAAATCAGAGAGGTGGGGAAGAGAGAGAGAGATAGGGGAGAGCTAGACCAATAAGCTCATTGGTTTTCTGGTGAGAAAGAGAATGCTCAGAAATAGAAATAAAACATAGGGTGAGGAAGGAAAAAAGTGCACTGATCTTCTGCTAAAAAACTAAAAAAAAAAAAAGTTTAAAAACAGAGAAAAGTGAGAGATAAAAATGAAATGTTATAGAGAGAAAAGGAGTCAAGGTAGGGTCAGCACAGGTTAACAAGAAGAAATAAGCCCCTTCATTTTTGCCTTCCATGTACACAGCAAACCGTAAGATTGTAAACCTTTTTCTTTCATTCACACACAAACAGAAAGGACACACACAGACACCAGTCTTCCAGTCTGCTGGAATGCCCCTGGGTTTATGAGTTCAGTAGGTCAAATCCCCTCAGGCCAGGGATAATAGGAGAGGGCTACGTATCACAACAAACAAATGTACTGATAAGAGGCATGTGATCGCTGTCACGGTTGAGTGTGTGTGATTAGACACATATGTGAGGCTGGTTTGTGATGGTACAGATGATATATTTTCCGCATTTCTGTCCCAGAAAACATGTTCAATCATAGACGGTTAAATCATAGAAGTTAAAACAGCAGCTTCTTTCAATGTTAAAGGGTTCGAGTGTGTGCACTCACCCAGGTCCATGCTTTTGGAAGCTCTGTTGCGAGGTGTGTTGTCGTAGTTACTGGGCAGCTGTCTGGCATTGTAAGGCGGCTTCTGAAACTCACTGCAAAACATCAGTCGCAATTGATTAGAATCAATTAATCAACATCCACATTTTCTTACCATATAATCCTAAACTTACTTTCTTATATTCCTAAACAATCACAAACATTTTCTGATGTGTAAACAGTGTAGCCATGGTCAGTGTGATTGTACAGCAGAACACTGACTCCAAATGAATTAACTCTGTTATGCTATCATCATAATAACTAATGCATAATGCAAACAGGCTACTGCAATTAGACTGCACAGTGTAAATAATGCATATGTATGTTGTAATATTTAGTGTAAAGGCTCTTCTTTATCTCATAACACAGCAACCCATATTAAGAGTGCCATTACAATATAATAAGTCTTGCCCCTGTGTGTAGTTTAAGCATGTGCTGATGCTGCAGTGTGAATGGGCATTACCTGGGCTTTCGGAAAGTAATTGGTAAGTCTCCATTTACTTCATCCACAGTGCTGGGGGAGGGCGACGAGATGAAGCCTTCCTCCAGCTCCTCATCCTCATAGCTGCCATTGGTGGTCACAGTGGAATATAGAGCTGAGGGAAACACAACAACCCAGTACATCAAAAATAAAGTTGTCTGTAGGCAACAAAAGCTAAATAAAAGTTTCAAATAACATGCACAGCTGGATCATAAATGTTTCATGATCCTGAATATTTGATTTATTTACTGATATTAATCAGCTGTGACAAGACACTGCACATGTTCAAATACAGACATCAGACAAAACCAGTTGCCTTGATTTGAGGATCAATACTGTCAATAAAGAGCTTAACAGGGTCAGACATACAGAAAGTCTAAGCTCTACATCAAAGACACACACACACCTACAATACACAAACACCCAATACACCATGCACATTCATGTAAAACAAAAGCACAAAAAGTAATAATTTCTATAAAAAAAGCCACCTAATTTTATTGCAACTCCTTCTCCAACATTTCCATAAACCTTGACAGTGCATCATTTCCCCACTGTAAAGCCTTTGTGCTGAAACTCCTTCTGTACAAAATGACTAACTGTACTGGCACTCCAGTCTGATGGAGAACTGACAATAAGAAAAGCATCTCCAACTCTGCATCTCAGGCAAATGAGGGAAGGGGGAGACGAGAATGTGATAAAGCATGAATTTAAAACAGTTTTTTTTTTTTTACACAACAGCATAGATGCTGCACAATAGACTGTATGCAAATCTGGCCCACTTAAAAGCTGTTTCATCAGTGTAATGATTCTAAGGTCAGATCTCTTGCACATGAAAAGCAAGCGTTGTGATCAGAAAAACATAGTTAATGACTTCTCTTTGTGCTATAATAATGCAGTGAAAAGCAATAGACAAAGCTTGGAAAAGACTGTTTTCTAATGGAGTGCTATAAGATGCTTAGGGTGGCTGCTACAAAGACCTTAAAAAAAAAGAACAATGTCAGGAGCCTTAGCTGGATGTCATGCTGTGCAGCAATTGCAAACAGACACACATATACTGTACAAGCATACACACATGGGCTGTAAGCATACTATGTGTACACACTCAGTTGCAGATAACTGGAGTACACAAACACTCCAAGCCTAATGTTGACTATCTGACAGTTTAAATGGACAAATAATATGCAGAGTGCGAGTTGTTGATGTGCACGGCTGTATGCTCACCACTTCCAGAGTTGATGTTTGTCATTGGAGCGTGACTGGCACCGTTCATGGTGTGCTCTGTTTTTGCGGGTCTGGAGAGTCCTGCAGACCTCTGGTATGCATCATGGCCCCAAGTATCCTGTCAACACACAAAGAGATCAAGAGGGAGATTGAAAATGGCTATTAAAAATTCATTGCTGGTATATATAGAATTAATATGGATAACTTTGGGAGCACAGTGACACCAAATATTAGCTAGCAGCAGCCACCATCAAAGGCAGGACTTTTTGAAAATCAATGCTAATCCAATCTTACTATCCAAGGTAGCAAAGCAACATTTGAAACAAGTTTTATGAAAGGGACCCTACAAATGAAATGATGCTCACAAAACACTCTCTAATCTGCTGTACAAACAGCCTAAACTTTTTGGCATTTCTCCTGGATCTAGTTAGTATTAAAGCTACAGTATGTAACTTAAGGTAGTACTACTATGACCTGCTATGGTCCCCACACTCTTCTCAGCTCGTCATTATTAAATTGTAATAAATGAGAATGCAACAAAACGTCCAGATCAAGCAGAAAATCTCCGATTAGTTAGTGAGGTCAATCCTGCTCAAAGCCTTTAGAAGCCGATGTCTCTGCACTGCTGCCAGTGTTGTTAAATGAGTCTGGATCACAGAAAATGGGTTAAAAATAAAGGCTGGATATATACAGTATGTAGTACTTTGATATCCCTTTGGCAATTATTTTGAGAACTGGTTCCTATAATGTGTAACTGCACAAAAGCCAATTCTCCCCGTGCACAACTGAAAACAGCAATTAAGATAATCCTGAGAGCACTGACAGGCATGTTATTGAACAACCATGCAGTACTTCAAAGGACTCCCACCCCACAGATGGAGATAAAGCCTGGTGATGGTGGTGGGAATCAGTGCTGGTGGAGGATGAAAGAAGCCTTGTCTGGTCAAAAATAAAGGAGCTACAGCTGTCACACAAATACAAAGCCAGCAAAAACAGACCCACAGGTAAGCACACTTATTATAATAATATATAATATAATGACAGGTGTACCCATAGCTTCCTCATATCAAAGCACTGGGTGGAGTGTATTCACAATGTCATGAGTCCCTGGGGTATCATTAGTACCAAACATACCTCTTAATATGTCACCACATCCTAACTGTCAATCACAGAGTTCATACATGTGGGTTGCCTGCATTTGCACACAAAGTTCTGACAGTTCTTCTGCATGTGCCAGTAACACATAGGTGCCATCACAGCCCCCGTACCTCTATCCATCGGTCTCCACAAACTGATGGCTTGCCTAAAGCTGAGAGGCAGTCAGATATCTTAATCCCACAACAATAAGCAAACAGAGTCGGGGGTTCCATCTACCCCAACCAATGCAGCTGCTGTTGGAGGCAACCCATAGCTGCATACAATAGGCTTCTTAAGAGATTTCGCCATGGCTCACCCTACTGTGTCACCCACCCCACTCACGTCACTCAGCTTGGGACGGACAACAAAACAGCAACATAAATGAACAAACAGAAAACTGTGTTGTGTTTTTTTTTTTAACTACCATCTATTCCTATTATTTACATATCTGCCTTTTGTTAGTTTTGGTGTGTATTAGTCTTGTCAGTCAGGTCAAAGGTGAACTGGCACACACGGCCGTCCCTAGAGCTATAAAGACACTTACTGGCGTTATAATCTCTTATCAACTTAATTCTACACAGAGACGGTGAGAGAAAGCAGGGATGTTAAGAGGCTCGGTGTGTTTCGCTTTAGGGAGCGCTTGTTTAATCACATGGTGTCACCAGACTGGCTACTTAGTGATGGCAGGAGGAGGACTATGCAGATATAGACTGAACTTTGAACTGGGTTTGACAGCATTTAACCACAGGCTTCAATGCACAGATGATATGGAAATATCACAATGGGGAGTCAACCCTCATACACACACACACACACACACACACAATCACTAAGCATCTGCTTTAGCTGCTGTGAAACATCTTTTAAGCTTTTAAATTAATCAGTCATGGTTCAGCACAGAGCTGAATAGACAGACTTAACTAAGAAACAGCCGGCTTTTCACCGTCTGGCACGCTTGACATCTTCATCAGTCCATCCAGACGGATATTTGTGCTTCTTTTCAAGCAGTAGATAAACACAACTTTTAGTGTGACTTTCTCAGGGATTCTAATGTCGCTAGCAATGTTTACCATCATTAATTCAAGAAACTGCAGAAGCAAAGTAAGAAATCTTTTGGGACTATTAAGACTTTCACGGGAATAGTTGTTTATTCCTCTCAACAACACTTCAACACAACAAAGAAAGGTAAAAACAAGCAAGGGTTAACACATTCTGGGCAGTCTGATTTTCACACATTGATCCGATCTGAAGAGGACTGGTGTTCTACTCCATTAAATATGTTCATCATTCACTATATGGCTGTGAATGTTTGACTCTTGGTGTGTGATTTATGTGGCCTCTTTATGTTCAAAATCGAATCCTCACTTTGTAGCTGTTTAACTTCATCCTGGTTTCTATTTGGAGCAAGTAACGAGATAAGGAAAAGGCAGAAAAAAATGAGACACTGAGGTCAAAATTGAGGGGACAGGGACTCAAATATAATAAACAGGGCAAGAATCAAAGGAGAAGGCAGCCACTGAAAACCCAACAGAAAAACAGGCAGAGGAGCAATGCAGGAGGCTTCAGATCAGCTTTATTTAACAGAGGAGAAACAGGAAGGTGAGACAGGAAAGTGAGAGTACATTCCCTTAAAAATATGAAAAGTTAAAAAGGATAAGTTAATAGAAAATGTTACACAAATAGAGCAAGAAAGCACATTCAGTTTTTAAAGTTTGCAGTGAAGTAAGAGTTGAACACAGTGAAGAATTTAGTATTGCATCAAGTTTAGGGTAAAAACATTATAGTACAAAAGAGGACAATTCTATTAATAATATAAAATTATATGAACCATCCATGATGTCACATAGACTGAAACAGTCAGAAAATACATTTTGCACCAATTTAACCCATGGTTTTCCCTGAGTCTTTTGGTTTATCCCCTTTTTGAATTTTACAATGTGCAAATGTGTTCTTTGAACCATCTGCAAGAGCTCAACAATGTTCTTAATTTGCAGGTCTGAAAAACTGTTTTAAAACACTCACATTCGCATGCACACACACACACAGTGTCAGAGTCCACCAGAAAGCCGGAGGTGGTGTTGTCTGGTGAGAGCCTGGTTGTAAAAATTATGTGAATGCGAGTCTACAAATATGTCTGCAGATCTGTGAGCATTTCTGTTATGACTGTGGGTCAGTAATCTGGTTGTGGGCGGGTCTCCATACATCTGCTCTGCCATTGCTCTGATGTTTCCTGTGTAACTGTCACTCTGAGAGCTGTCGTGACTGTGGTTGGTGTCCAGTGTGTGGCTGAATGTGAGCCTGGACTTGTGGCTGTGTGTGTTGCCCTGAGCTTCAGCAAACATGTGACTGTGTGTGTTATCGAGAATGGTGAGGTCCTGCATGTCGGCAGGCATTCGGCTGCATGTGTGTCCCTGAGTGTATCCATATTCATACCTTTCTCTGTTTGATTTTCCTTGGGTGTGTGTGTTTAAGCTGCTCAGTGTCTGGCTGGGGGAGACAAATCCAAACCTGTACCTCATAGCTGGTCTGTACGCATCACTGTGTGCGTTTCCCTGTTCTTCATTATCCCTTTGTGTAAAGCCAAATGTGTAACCACTACCCCTTTCCTTTTGATGAAACCCACAGGTGTATCTGGTGTGCACAACCCCTGGCCTCTGTGTGTAACACTGCCTGTTGCTGTAAGGCAGGGGCTCGGACGCCTGCCTCCTCAGTGTGGGGATGAAGGAGGAGCAGCAGCGTGGCGGCGGCTGCTGCTGGCAGGCATCGCCTGTTCGTACCTGATTGCTGGAGCCCATCTGGGTATTGTGTTGATTGGCAGTGGAGACATTTGTAGCTGTGCTTAGTGCAGGGTTGGCACTGCCCATCTGTTGAAAGCCACAGTAAAACAAAGCATGTATAATTTTGAGAAAAAAAATGAAAAATTAATGAACTGTTTTTTAATATTACCCAGTGGACAGGGTAGCTGAGGATTTTTCAGTTGTTCACAGAGTAGTGCAACTGTTTACACACTTTGCAACAGCCACTGTTGTGTCAATTAACAACCACACGCTTTATCAAAGGGCTCCAGAATAAGAAACTGAGCTGCGACCTGCTTTTCTTGATAGCATGTCAACTTAATCTTAAGACTGTTAAATCACCAACTTCACACCCAAACATATCATACAGCACGACAGCCACTGTCATAAAGGTACCCTTTATTCTGATGTCTTCTTTATTTTTATCCAACTGGGTTTATATTGTGAGAAGAGGAGCTGTATTAGCAATAACTGAGCTGAAGGCTCTCTGAATAATGGGAAGATAAAAAGCGCACCTTATTTATCACTTTAAAATTTGTTAAATTGGGTTTATATTGAAATTTATCAAGTCCTTTCTCCTTATGTCATACTTTAAACCCACATGTAGGGAGGGCAGCTGCATATACAGTATATAGAGCAGAGTTTCTTTCCTCAAATAATTGTAACAGGAGAGTAGAATGATCCTAAGTGAATGACACATCAATGTTTTTGCTGTGAAAACTGTGGTAAATACTTGTGAATAATACTGAAACATATCAGGATATGCAGATTTCATAATTCATAAGCATTCTCTCTTGATGTAATCAAACTTATCTAACCAAAGTCAATCGAAAAAGTTTAACATGCTGAACCACATCCACCAAAGAACTGCAGTATGTAGCAGGGATAGAGCCTGTTGTTAAGAGGAAGTGTAACAGATTTAAGTGCAATAGATTTTCTGAAGAGTACTGGGGGCAAACACTAAACAATATCAATATTTTTATCTGACAACTGTTTTAATTTTTATGAGCTTTTGACCTCTAAAACACTTTAATCAATCATTAAAACTGTGTTTTTCTTTAGCCACTATGTGGCTGGTTGCCAACTGCCAGTAAAATCCACAGAAGAAGCAAAAAAAATCACTACGTAGGAATTTTTGGCTCAGGCCAGTGCTACAGTTTATAGAAATCATGGCGGCTGAGGCAGAGTCCAATTTGTTTGCAAAAGAGGTTCAGTGTAAAAATTCCCAAAGACCCAAGCCTTTGAAAGCATGGGAGTACGTCAAATTATGAGAAGACAAAAAGGCAGTTTGTGTACTGTGCAAAGTTTCATTAGCATACCACAGAAACACTAGCGCTATGCACGAGCACCTGAAGAGAAAACCCACAGGCACTGTTCTGCATGGTGCACAGCCAGAAAAGGCTACACTACGAAGTGTTGTCTATCCATGTTTATTAAATTACAATTAGTAGGGAGAGCTTTTTAATATCTTTTGTCCTTGTAGCTGCTAAAGTCATTATTAAAACCATAAAGTCTTCTGGCTGCTACTGTACCTTTGAATTTCCACTGAATAAGTGTATGAGAAAATGGTTAGGGTTGTTCTACATTGACTGATGGTGCCTGTGCCGAGTTTGTGCCTTCTTTATACTGTCTATGGTGCGTAGATGTTGTGTTTGTTGGAACGTACAATTCTGGAGGAAAATTAATTGTTTTGATTAATCGACTAATCTGTAAAATAGCTATAGATTAATCGACAAACAGTCATTAGTGGCCCCTCTGTTGGACTGAGTATTAAGGCTTGATGCTGATGCTATTAACAAAAAGAACATTTTTATCATTGTGTTATATGATTATTCCAAGACTTCTCAAAATAAAGCCTGAGCACTTCCATGGCCTCAAACTGTCACTCCCTTCTGCTAATGTCGTCTTCCTAACAGCCAAAACTGTGACTTACAATCGAATAAAATGTGAAACATGTACACTACTGCGCCCATGAAACTTTCCCTGCCTGGATTCCAGTGCTCAGTATTCCAGCACTCAGTATTCCATTATATTCCAGAAATGATACAACACCTGCTGTACCTGTCCGGAGACTCGAAGCACTACGAGCTGAATGGTGCCCCTGGCGTTTCCCTCTGCCGACATGGAGTGTCGCAGTGTCTCCATGGCAGCGTGGTTGGAGCGTCCAAGCAGCGATTCACCGTTTACTGCTATCAACTGGTCATTTATGTTCAACCGACCATCCTGTCAGGAAACAATGAAGCTGTATTCACCGCACGTGAATACAGGGGAAATAACCACCTAAAGTCAGCTTACCTGCCAAGAGGTGACTTGGCAGTTAAATATACTGTTTATGTTACTGGGAGTGCTATCAAACCGATTGATTTGCAAAAGCCACCTAGTTTGTTTTATCTGAACTAGTATCACAAAAAATAACAGAGTTAGAGGCATTTTGCAGGCACTCTTGATTGGCCATGTCAATAAATTATATTAAAATAATATGGTAGGAAAAAAGAGAGGCGTACAAAGCACACATCGTATACAATATAAAATAAGACACACAAGACAGGTCACCAATTAAGAGAAGAGGAAAGAGAAGAAAAATTTGAGCAGATATGAAATGTATGAGAGGGGATGACAAAGAGAGAGGGAGAGAGCGCAGAGAAGAAAATGGAAGAAGGGGAAAGGCAAGAAAATTGTAGAGTTAGCAATCTGCAAAGAGCAGGAGAGCCATGATAAATACATAGAGCAGCTAATGTAATAGGCTCTGTGGGCACTAAATCACTTCTAAGTGTTTTAAATAGCAGCCTCTTGTAGAGAGGCAAAGCAGAATAGTGCCCTAGAGGGAGGGAGAGAAAGCGGCCAGGCAAGAGCAATGCAAAGGCAAAATGGAAAAAAAGAACGACCATGCTGAGACCCACACACGCTAAAGTCTGTCTCAGCGTGCATGGCACAATGATTGGACCATTATGGTCAGCACCGCCCTCTGACCCCATCTTAATAAGGCAGCACTGTTTGGGCTGACCTCAAATGCAGACTGGGATGGCACCACACACAAACACATTTTTTGGGGCTGCATCAAATCCAAAGGTGTCATCAAAAATAGATGCTTATGACAAAACCAGCAGGTGTTGCTGATATTCATTTCTTCATTTTCAGTGTAAGCAGCAGCACACTACATGTAATTTTAATTTGTTTTCTTTAGCATGCTCTTTGAAATGATCATATGACAGGATCGAGGAAAAAGTCAAAGAACATTTTATATAACTAAGGCCCTGGGCTCTGACAGCATCCACAACTCTTTAATGGAAATAGGTTAGATCTCTCCATGCCTCTTCCTCATCTGCTCCCTTTTTTGCCTGCTGTGTGATGTGTGTGAGTGATGTGTTTGTGTGTCCATGTGTGTCAGTCAGACTCAGAGGATGCCTGGGTTCCTTCCTCTGTAGCAGCCTGGTACTGCAGTGTCTCATCAGGCCCCTTAGCTGCTTTTCATTATCATGCATCAACACTGAGGAGGAGACACACACGCATACACCAACCCACCCTTATGTATTGTGTTCTTTCTGAGTGTCTCCACTTTTCAATTTTCTCTTTTTCCTCTTATTCCACCTATTTCCACATCTCTATTGTCGGACCCCACTCAATTCTTCCGTTGTATATTCCCACCCTTCTCGCACTCATTCACCCGCTGTCTTTTTTCAATGGGCTCCTTCGCTACTGCCTGTCTCTCTTCCTTCATGCCTTTCCTCCTCTTATGTGATGTCTTGTCCTAGAAGCCTGTTTTGCAGTTAGAAGGAGATCTTACTGGGCCTTTCTGTTGGAGCACTATCTACATCAGCAGCTGCTGAAAAACTACTTCTGAAGGCACTGGGGAGCCACTGTCTGGCTGCCCTGGTCCCAGACCAACCGTTTATCTACAATGCCACACTCATCTGTGTGCCTCCTCCGGTGCGCCATGCAGATCTAGGAGAAGCAACGAGGGGGATGAAGGGACAGAGATATTGAAACCAAGTGGAGGAATCTCCAAAGTGCTGAAACAGGATGTTTTATCCCTGATGCACTCACAATTTGAAGTGACCGCTGAGTGATTTAGATAAGACCGCTGCAGTGCTGATGTGACAAGGCTGCTTGGGGTCAATGGGAGTCAAAGGTTGAGGGCAGCTGGGCAGAGAGAAAGGTTGTGGCCTTGGAGAAAGAGAGGAAATGAGACAGGCGAGAAGTGCAAAGGAAGAGAGATGAGAGGAAATGACAGAAAAAGAAAACAGAAAAAGGGGGAAAGAGAATAAAAGAACATAAACAAAAAGACTGAAAAAGAAAAATCTCCACAACACTGCTTCTAAGATCATAGAAAGAAAAAGGCTCAAGTGGTGGTTCTCAATAGAATGATAATTCAAAGAACCTCTGATTAGCTAAAACCAGAAGAGAAACACACTTCTGAGTGTGGCTCTAAAAATGTTCCTGTAATACTTGTCATTTCTCATGTTTAATGTATTTTTAAGGAGCACTTTAAAGCACCAAAAGGATTCTGTGATGATAAAAACCTAATGAGGCATGTTGGGACTGTATGCTGTAGAGACACAGACACTAGAGAGACGCACAGACAGGCCACATTTTTACAGTTTCTAAGCATCTTTCTACAAGATTTCATTTATATTTTGTTTCCATTTTTTCTATTTTTGCCATAAAAACCAAAATTGCTGGTATACATGGATTGCATGTTTTCTAATTCAGATGGACACTAAAGGCCTCCACAAGTGGCTGCTGAAAGGCCCACGTGGCACTGCAGAAGTGCATTCCATACCTTGTAAGCGGCCCCTCCATGGATAATGGACTTGATAAAGATACCCAGGTCCTCTCCGGTCTCTCTGGACTTGTTGCCTTTCAGGCTGACCCCCAAGCCTGCTGATCCCGTTTCATTGAGGGGGATCTCATACATGAGCTGCTCACGGCCATCTTCCAACACAAGATTGCTGGATTCCCCACCTTTCTGAAAAACAGGAAGGAGACCTAATATATACGAGCACGTAAGACCTTTACCCGGGTTAGGATTTGTCTTGGCATGATTTGGAAAAACCTACTGTTCTAAACAGAAAAGGCCTGTTCATGCAGACACCTACTAAATAATAATAGCTGTGTATGATTGCTGATCATTCAGGAAGGAGCACCATGTCTAATGCACTGACTAGTAATGCATGCTCCTACACCACACTGATTATACTCAGCATTAAAAACCATAAAAGGGGAGTGAAAGAAGGAGAAGAGAAAATGATTACATATTCAGATGAAAGACGGCTGTGAAGAAACGAAGAAAAAAGCACAACAGTAAGAGAAAGAAAACAAGGAAGAGGGGAGCGGGTACTGTGTACTGAAAAGAGATGAAGGTGTGGCAAGAAAAGAAGAAAGCTGCTGTAGACAGATTATTCCTTTTGGAGATGAAAGGTGCAGACGGAGAGCGAGACATTTCTAAAGGAAACATAATAACCTTTTCATACCACCTGCTGCAGTAGAGTGGGGAGGAAGGGTGGAGGAAAGGAGAGGATGGAGGCGCAGAGGAGCATTTAAAACTAATAACCCATCCCTGAGGTATACCCGCTTCCTTCGTTCACACTCCCACCCCTCCTCACTCTTTACATTTCAACATAATCTCTCCATCTTACTGTACAGCTCTCTATTCTCTCTCCCCCTGTTCCATCACTCGCCTCTACAGGTCTCTCTCCACATCTCGCACCCACCCATCCCACTCACCCACTGCTATTAAATGTGAAGAAAATGACCGTGGCAGCAGCAACAGTGAACCAACTTGGGGGGGCAACAAAAGAGAAAAGGAAAATGTCTGTCATTAGAGAATAGCAAAATGGAGAGCAGAGGAAAATTGCCAAGCCCAGTCAACCAGGGAAAGGAGGACCTGTGGAGAGGAGGCGCCTGTGCACCACTTCACCCCCAAGCCTTATTTTTCTTTGAAGAGGAGGGATGGAAGGTTAAGAGGGTGTGTGTGTGTATGCATCGGCTCTTTTTTCCCCACTCATACCTTCATTCAACTGAGGAAATATGATAAAGACAACAGCCACACACACTCCACTGTGACTCAGAAATAAAAAAAATAAATGTAAAAGTGAATTATGTAGGAATATGCATATACATTATACCTGCCATATCAGTTGTCACAGCTTGAAAGATGTGAGTACCCATACCAGGCTTGCGAGAGCCTTACATCAGTCACTGAATCAAGAATCCATGTTCACATTTCCTCTCTCATCATGGTACAGCGTTGAAGAATGTGGGAGTCAAATATGTCCTCCAGTGTTTTTTGCATAAATCATGACTGTAGAAGCTCAACTTCACTATGATCCTTCAGTCCCAAAATTCCGTCTCCCCCGTGTTAGCACTACTCTGCACTGCTCTGTCTAGGTGCTTAATTAAAACAACAGCCTGGTACAACCTTTAGGCTAAGAGACTTAAAGTGTGAGTCAGAGCTCTCGAGCAGTGAAGGTAAAGGAGCTCAACGTGGAAGTCAGTCTGCATCAGAATAAAGAAAACCCTAATGCCCTGTAACACACTGATTCTCAGTGTATGTGCAATCAGGCAACCAGGGTTTAAATACTTCACAAGGTAAAGGAGGCCAAATCAGAGCACAGCAGCTTTGACAGCACTAAAAACAAACCAAAGATGTTCGAAAGTTATTAAAACGTCAAGTCCGACAAACTGAACATGTTTACTTTTGTACCTCACTGCTGCTTTAAATCTATTGACACAACCAAGTGAATCTCAGTGGCATCCAAAAGTATTCAGGCACTCTCACACAGTCGGATATCCCCCCCCCCAATGCCCTTTCCTTGGGGGTACTTTGTGTCCCCAGGGTGGCTGAGGCAGGCTGACCCCACTCTATGTCCCCTCCTCCCTCCGTTGTTAGCCCTGAGCAATGGTTCTTTAACAAGCTTTTAGCCAGGAGAGAGACCACCCTCTTCAACACCCAAATGAGGAGACAAAGAGGAGCATTTTCTTACCCCAGGGTGGGCAGCGAGAAGGGGGCGATACATAATGATTACACAGAGCCTTTTGTCACAGAGGATTTCTAAATGGGGGGTTTCAAAGCAGCAGGATTAGCAGTGAGAGCGACATTCAATTAAGATGAGATCTCACCACGCTCAACGGCGACGATGGAGCTGCCAATTAATCGTCTTAAATGTCTGCCTCGTTGCAGTTTTACACCTTTACCTCACAATGAGGAGAAAGGAAAGTAAAATGACTGATTGAGGGATAAGTCTGGTGGGTGCTGGAGGGGGAGGAAGGACAATGAAAAGAAAAAAGTGAAAAGAGCTGAAGACTGACAGAAAGAGAAAAAAGGACAAATATAAACAGTTTTAGTAGAAAAATAAAAAGAAGACAACAGAGAGGAAAAGTTGACCACAGAGAAAACAGTAAAACAACAAAATCATTTTCTGCCTGACGACCCCTGTTCCTGCGAAGTGGCCTAGGCTTGCTGGTAGCTGAGGGTCAACCATGTGCAGGGTGACCCGTCCATCCTGTCCTTGGCAAACTCATCCTTCTGCCACAGACACACACTTTCAATCATACAAACATCACACTCCTGCCATAACACCCACACAAAAAATTCTCCACATCTCAAAGCATCTCTCTCATCTACACCTGTGAAACAAAACAAGGCTCCATAAAATACTGAAACCACCTGGCAGAGGAGATGCAGAAGTGCTGACAGAAATGACACTGCGATTAGAAATTATCACTTTTTAATTACTTAGACAGGGTGTGAGAGTACAGGAGGTGGGGTAGAAAATCTGTCCTATTGTGTCTTAATAATGAGGCTAATTCACAGGCTTTATTGCTATTCTTTTGACTGAAAGAGACCGGTATGCCTTCAAGCACTGCCAAATGCTTTCACAGACCCACACGCTGCTCATGAAACATCAACACTCTCTCTACTGAAGCTAATCAATGAGCAGTTCAGCTAAGTCTACTTTACTACAAGGGAAATAACAAGTGCTGGAGCAGAGAGTATACTGTAAATCCAGCAGGATGGCAGCAGGATGAGTATGGAGTTCTGTGGATGCATAAAGCAAGTATTTAACAGATATTATTGCCTCCAACACATTACCAAATATTCATGAGCACCCACAGCAAGTCAGACATGCAGATAAACATTTTCATATGACAAGAGGCAGATGGCCACATCTACTTAATGCATCTCCACCATCATTACATCTTTTGGCAACCAAATCATCACGAGCCGCTCCTTGTTAGTGCTTCACATAATTTACCTCAACAATTTACCACCTGAGAGGAGCAGGAGAAAGAGTTGAGCCATTTAAAACAGGCGAGGGAAGAGAAAGCAAAGACAAGAGCAGAAAATGTTCTTTCTTGGTCTGTATTTTGGAGCAGGGTATAGATTTTCTAAAGTTGGGGATGGAGTTTACTGTAGATTGAAGCAGTCATCTATCTACATCTGTCTGGTGCTGCTTCTTGTACAGTTCGTGCTTCATGTGTGTTTGCATGCACTCATTTGGCATCTTTTAATGATTTCTTTGTGGCTGTGGCAGTTTCTTCATCTGTGTATTTATGTAATCCTTTGATTTCTGATGTAGAACCTCTAGAGCCCTTGTGTGTGGTGTATCTATGTGCATCTGTATATATGCCTTTGTATTACTTTCATTATGGGCACCAAAATCTGTTAACACACCCACATTGTGGGGACTTGGCCATCCTTGTAGGGACCAGAGGCTGGTTTCTACAGAGAAATCACAGAATTTTAGGGTGGCAACATGGTTTAAGGTTAGGTGTTAGGGTTAGGGTCAGGCAATTAGTGAGTATGGTTAAGGTTAGGATAAGTCTACAGAAAATGAATAAAGTCCCCACAAGAAATGAAAACAAAGTGTATATGAGAGTGTGTGTGTATTTAGGGGACATCAGACCCTCTCTGAGGCTGTGGACTGTGCTGCAGAGACAGGTCAGATTACATGGGACACTAACAACTTCAACAGGGGCAACAGAGACGGGGGAGAAGGCTCTCTCTCTCTCACTCTCCTTTTCCACCAGTCTCTCTCTCTCTTTAAGTCCCTCTCTAATGCACAAATACAAGCAAGTATTAGAGGAAGACTGAAGAGGCTCTTCAAAGTGCACTTATTATGCCAAATCTGCTGGACCATTAATGAGGGCAAACTATTTTCGGAAGCAGTAACTTGGCTGTTTAAAGATTGTGGGATGTGTTCAACTGTGCACGTGTGTGCGTGTGAGAGAGAGAGAGCACTTGTGTTCAAGCTGGTATCAAGGACTACAGTAGGATTTTGTGTGCATGTGTGTCAACTTGGTGTGAATATGCATCAGTTACTACAAAGCCTGGCGTGTCCCTCTCACAGCTCTTTGAAGTAACAGAAAGGGAATAATCAGAATAACACAGAGGACAGAGGGGAGAGAACAGAAATGAATCAGTGAAAACATCATTTACAGAGAGCAAGTGACTTTCAGGGGGCCACCTGACCATGTGTATGTAGTTTATAAGTGTCCGTTTATTGATAAAAGATCCCCTGTGAAGTGCAAACTGTGTTAGTTTCACAGCCCTGATGCTGTCCTATGACCCCATCAGCCACTACAAGTAAACAGTCACTTAACACCCGCAGCATGTCAACATGCAGGGACATGTTCACACACTTCCTGGTGGGCCACTGTGGCTTGTGTAAGTGTGTGACTTCCTTTGGCATTGCTGTGTCAACAAAAAAAGTGGGACAGGAAAGCCAGAGCGTGCCCTGGGTGTGTTCATGGGTGTGTCTGCGTGTGGTGTTTAAGGGCAAAAGGGCACAGACAAAAAGAGGTTTGCTCCTTTGGGGAAAAAATGGAAAAAGTGACACAATGTGCAGGAAATGTAAAAAACAAAACAAAACAAAACCACTGCATACAAAGGAAACAAATGATCACAAAAGTGTCAAAAATCACTGACAGGCCAAAGACGAAGAGAGAAAGGACACTGTGTGAAGGTATGGTAAGCTGGGCGAGCACATGGATCCTGGGTTTTTGATTGTGCACACTCTATTACCAGTTCTCGAGGCAGGAAGATGTCATCTTGCCGTTCCACCACTACACACACGTTCTCTCCCTGCTTGGTGCTGCGCAGCATGGCCACGAGTTCCTCCTGGCTACGGCCCATCATGTCTACTCCATTCACCTACACAGCCACACAAAAGAATACACGCAGAGGAGTGAATTAGTGTGTCTTACCCACTGGCAGTGCTCCACTAACGCATATTAAATTAGACTAGTAGGCAATCCTACATACAGTAGACACTTCTGTGGTTTAAGGATGAGTTCATCCAAAATTAAGAAAAAAATTATTTCTCAGGCTTAGGTGTGTCTTACCTCTAAGATGCGGTCTCCAGGCTGCAGGCGGCCATCTTTGATTGCTGCGCCACGTGATAGGATGTTCTTCACCAGTATTGGCCCTGGCCCATGGACAGACGTGTCCCGGGTTACCACGGTGAAGCCCAAACCCTCTGTGCCTGCGGGGAACAAAGGAGCCTGCATCACGTTGTGCATTACGGACATCAATCCCCCCTGCAGATAAAACTTAATTATGAACTTTATCACTTTTTAGTTTGGTTTAATTTTCCCTCGTCTCCATATTCTCTCACTTTGCTCTTCTCTTTCTCCCTCTCCAGAGTTTTTCCTCTCTCCTCTTCTCCTGTCCTGCCGAACCAAGTCTGTGGTTTTACAAGTAATATCGTTCTCCACATTAACTAACGTTTAAGTGTCTGTTTTCCTCTGAAGGTCACTTGCTTGTCTCAGCCTCTGAGCTGCTGGGAGAAGGCTTCTCTCCTAGCCGGATTAGACAGACTCTGCCTTTAATTTCACGTGTGAGCAGGTCGAACGATGGCTGATGAAGGGAGGCAGAGGAAGAAGATGGAAGGAAGGCGGGGGCAGTGGTAAGAGAGAGAGAGAGAGAGAGGGAGTAAGAAGAACAACTTGAGATATTATTCCCTTCTCTAGCTTCCCGCCCTGGGGAGGCAACGTGACTTCCACAAAGATTTTCCTTGTGAGTTTGAGCCTGAGTTTAGCTGTGGTTATACATTTACAAGTGTGCGTGTGTTTCTGAAGCCACACATACACACATGCATGAGCCATCAACCCCCAAACCCTCCACCCTCTCCCTTTTTCACGGCCTCACAAGCCCCAAGCCATGAGTGAAATGTGCCACGCTTTGTGTGCACGTGTGTGTGTGTGTGTGTGCCCGAGTGTGCAGGGGGAGTAAAGCTAGCATGGCATACTAAAGGCTGTGAGCGATGCTATCTGGTCTCCAAGCTAAGCCTGCCCTACATTAGCCCATCTAAACCTCACTGCTTGTCAGTCACAGAGAGAAAGGGCCTGTTGCCAAGAGAGAGAGGCTGTTAGAAAGCCCATAATATCCTATGCTCTGATCTTGCATCAGGTGAAAGGGATAGATAGATGGGGATCAAACAATAGAAAGATGGAGGAAAAAAGAGAGGAAAATGGGGGGGAATGAAAAGGTTCTGGGAAAAGAAAAAAAACTAACAATAAAACAGCTGTGAATAGGGCTTTGAGCTGGAGCTGGAGAGTGTGGAGCCCAATTTCTTCTATCCTTTCATCTGGGTATCTTCTTGCCTTTCTCTGGGTACCTGTAGAGTGTGTGTGTGGGCGTGTGCATGTAGTCCAATTACAGCTATCCTTTCAGTGCCCCATAACACTGCAGGTTGCTAAAGCACAGCCTATTCACAGTCCTAAGAACCTATTCCTATGCTATCAACACATCTGCGCTCCAGCACCAGTGTGTTTTCGAGGGATAAGAGAAAAGGCGACTGGGAAGTCAAACTGATTCAGTCTGGGTTAAAGTCTAAAAGCAAAACAACCACACCATTTGTACCATTACGCCAGCGGATAAAACATGGAAAACATTGCAACATCGGAGAGTTACTTTTAATGTAGGCTACAATTGCTTCCAGTGGTTCAGACTCTGCATGCAAAAGGTAAACATCAGATTACAATTATTAAATCCGTGTAATGGTGGAGAACATCATGGACGTGCAAGTCAGCTGCTCATGCGATTACATAAACAAAAAAAAAAAACTCTGAAAAAAATATATAAATCTGCATGACTGTCTTCAGAGTCAATGTGGATGATCTTGCATCTTGACAGCATTTCCTTTATGAGTGAGAAGAAGGCGATAAAGAAATAAAAATACAAGACTTCAGGTCTCTCAAACAGGATTAAAAAATTGAGAAACATAAAAAAACCATTTAAACCTCTTAATTTAAAGGGACTTTTCAGCAATTTAATACTCCATTTCCATAAAGATGAGGGGCTGTGTATAGTAGGCCAGGGTATAGAAACAATGAATTCTACACTTCCCATAATGCTATTAAATAAGCCTTTTCAGTAGACCACTCCTGCCTGGTAAACACCCACAGTTTATATTGCTGCCTTCCAGTTAAAAATCTGTAGTACTCTGAGTGACAAGGAAACTGATGTTGCTGTGTACCCTTGGTATCACAAGTCAGTGATGTAACAGAGCATCAAATGTGTTTTCAGTTGCCCGTTTACCTTTCTTCAGGTTAATCTTTATCCTCTTGCCACCCTTCCTGCTGTTAAGGTTGGCCAGGGCCTGCAGAACAGGACTCTTACTGGGCAAGGGGCTCTGACCACGAGTCGTGGGTGATGGGGAGGAGCCTGCTGCCCTGGCCAGAGGAGAGGGAGAGATTCTCTCAGAGGAGCCATAGCCAGACTGGAGCTCCCCCGCTGGTGGGTTTACTGCAACTGGCTCTGGGGTCTTGGAACGTGCATCCAGTTGACTCGCTTCAACTTTGTCGTTCAGTTTGGTATCTTGTTTGGGTTCTGGTTGGGAGTCAGCTTTAGCACGGGCCACCATCGGACTCTTTGGTTTTGCAATGGCATCTTTGACGTCGCCGGTGAAAAGCTGACCTATCAGGCTCTTCTCATAGCGTGGTTTGTTGGCTACAGGGAGGACCTCCAGACACACTGAAGAGGAGGTCATTGCCTGGCGGAACACTTCCTGTGACCTAGAAAATAAGAAGAAAAACCGATGAAACTTACAACAGTCACATTTTTGGCATTAATATATAATTTTAAAATAACAAAAAAAGTAGAAGATATCCAGCTGAAATGGTGACCAAATTATGACGTTCACCTTAACCTCTGAGTTTCTCTGCCTTGTCAAAGACTAAAAAAAACAAAAAAAAATCAAAGAAAACCAAGAAAGAACACAGACCAGTGGAAGGTAGAGAATGAAGAGGGTGAATGAGGCTTGTACATGGTTAATGGAGCTGTATTTCAATTTGGATCAAGCACAGAGTGACTCTTCCAGCTGCTTTGGGACACTGGGGTCTCTATCAGCTGGGGCAGACCTTACAGCAGACTCCTACTGCAGCTTTATAGACTGCTATCAGCACAACATTCCCACCACACAGCCAACACAGTGGGATGCAGTTAAATTGACCTATTCAGTGAGGATAGAGAAAATAAAGAAAGAAAGCAGGGACAGGAGGTTGTAGGTGTATGTGCTGGAATACACACAGAAACTCTCCTGCTCATTCACGCTCCAGCATACTTACTGTGTAAAGGTCTTGTCTTGGAGTGGTGTGCCGTTGATTTGGACGATACACTCATCCTCCTGGAACAGATTTTCTCTCTTGGAGCGACTGTTTTTATCGATGCCTTTAATATGAAGGCCCAGGGTCCTTGCACCACAAAGTGAATATGAAGTTGTGGACATAAACATATAATATTAACTGCCAACACTTGAACTTTCTTATCCATCTCTATGAGTGAACATTGCCATCTGCCTTTGCTTATGAATTTCTGACTGATTACAAGTAGAAGTGGTCCACAGAGAGTGTGTAGCTGTGTTGGTACAATATGTGTGTATCTCTGTGTGTATGCGCTTACCGCCCACTGAGAGAGGAGCAGTAGGGAATCACGTGGATACCCAGGGGTCCCCGGTCACCTGGAAACTCCACTGTCCTCGTTAGGTTTCTGTCAACAAAACACATACTAAATCAGAATGTGCACAATGTTGTGCCAAAAATCACAGCGTGCATACACACACACACCCACACAGACTCCCAGCCTTTCTATGTACAAGCGCTTCAAAATCCATTTGCATTTTCCTCTAGGCTATACAAATAGGAATATACAGTAAATTAGCTTACAGGTAGTTCTACCAAACATCAAATCTGTGTGTGTGTGTGACGGGGACGCAGGTGGCTGCTTCCCCCTTATCTACCTGCTACTCGACCACCCAATCTAGCTGGTGGACAAAAGAAAAGAGCTGGATATAAAAGAAAAAGACAGGCAGACAGGCAGATAGAGATGAAACATAATGAGCTTCTCCAACAGTCCCTGTAGAGGCTTGAACTGTGCCTTTTAACTGCAGATAAATAAGGACAATACTACTAAGATAAACAAGAGGAGGGCTGCTTTTGATATTGGATGGCTAAGATGCGAGGACCTGCATGATTGGGGCATTGTACAAGAAGATCACAGAAGACAACAAGCTCTGTCTGTATGTTTAATAGTACTCATACACATCAGTACCATTTCTTTTTGAATTGAAGCAGTATTATACAAGAGTATACTGAAGGTTGAAAGCATACTTATAAGATTCAGATGACTGCAAATTGAGAATTGAGTCAAAATGTTTGAGTCTCAAGTCATGTTTGCAGTTGTTCTTCCTCTCTTTAGTCTTGTCTGATGAAGGCGCAACATTTTTATTTTTAACAATAAAGACAGCATTGCTGAAATTATTGAAGGTTTTTATGCACAGTTATTAGCTAAATATTAATTGTTATATGTTTGATAAGATGAATAATTGTAGTGTTTTTCCTGCAATTATGTTGAAATATCCTTAATATTCAAACTGCTCTTTTTGAAAAATATGCTAATTGCCAGTTGAAAGCTATGACTTCAGATAGTTAAATGATTTTAAAACACCTGCATGGAAAAAGAAAATGTTTCAAATATTTTTTTTAAATCAAAGGTCATGCTTCCATTTAACAGTAAGAGATATCGGTCTCATTTTGCCACCTTTCTTCAAACCTCCACAAAACTTTCAAAGAAATTTTTACTCATCTTAAAAAGTATGGTTTTATCCAAAATGGCTTAGAATAAATTCATTGAACTTTCATAAGAGCACAAACTAAATATCATCAAAACATGTGCCAAAATACATCTAAGGTAGGTAGGTAGGTAGATAGGTAGGACTTTATTGATCCCACAATGAAGAAATTCCTGTGTTCCAGCAGCAATAGAGAGCAACAACAAAACACCACACACATATCTTGGGAAACAAATTCCAAAGTACCTAAAACCAGACAGAATATAGTATTTGAGAGACAAGAAAGAACAAGAATGATCCTCCCACCATTAATCCAAGAGAACAAATCAAAATACCTAAAAACAAGACAAAATATAGTATTCAAGAGATCAAGGACAAGAATATTACTCCCATAATGGGGGAAATATCTGTATTTCAGCCATGAGGATCTCTGAAAAACTACTCAAAAATACCTAAAACAAGACAATATAAAAGTATTTGAGAGAAATCAAGAACAAGATTTTACACATGTGCATATTTTACCCCTATTGCACCTCAGTTGACTAATGCATAGTCCCTCATAATCTCACCTATGTTATTTATCATTGTAGTGATGCATTGTACAGTCTGTGGGGAGGAATGACCTACGGTAATGCTGCTTCTTGCACTAGGGATGTAACAGTCTTGTGCTAAAAGAACTGTTCAGAGCCTCCACTGTGTGGTGCAGGGGATGGGAGGGGTTATGCATGATGGATGTTAGTTTTGCCAGCATCTTTCTGTCCGCCACCTCCTGCTAAGAGAGTGTTTAAGTCTTCTAGAAAACAAGACATGAGCTTTCAGCCTGCAGGATAAGATAAGTAGTGGCTCTGCTGCCCTGATTTCAGCTGGGAGACAATTCCACTGCTCTGGGTCCAGGACAGAGCACAGGCTTGAACAAGATGTGTCCTTGGAATAACAAGGCAAAAATCATCCAGAGGCAGAGGTGTGTGTGTTGTAACTGTTGGCCATGGCTTGGGAAGAAGCCACCAGAGTCTCTTAGCTGCAACAGGCACCCACTGTAGTCAACGGTATCTTGTACTGGAGCAGGTCAACTTAACGATGATGAAGACCAGACCAGCAGCATCATTCTGGACATGCTACTGAGTAACAGGAGCTGCAGTAGTCCAGTCAGTGCTTCGCTTTTTCAGATCTCACCTCAGCCATTCTCCATACTGTCATCCATTTCTATGATTCAGCCTCTGAACTACACATGAGAGGTAAAAAGATGGTCTAAAAAGAGCAAGTTCAGGTGTTCTCTCAGATAACCTTTACAAAGTTACATTGCAAAAAAATAAACAAGTGATGAGACACTGACGTCAGTTAAAAAAAACAAGTCTGAGAAGAAAAGCAGTGAAGTTCAAGGTTTATGTGCATGTACAGTACACAAACCCAAGGACTAGCTGGGATCATTAAAACACACTCCTCTGTCACTGTCACCCTGCTCTCGTTAACCTCTGCCAGGGTCAGACATGTACTGTACACACACACATCCAATTTCCACACTTATTGCTACATCCATCACATGTTCATAAACACCATCAGTCACATTCCTCTAAATTGAATTCACAGATACACACATGCATCAAATTTACATCTATTAGAGAACAGAGTTAAATCTAAATTACACATGCATAAGCCCTGATTTGCACACACACACACACACACACACTTTTTGAATTTACTTTTAATGATGGTAAACAAGGCAGGACAGGAAATACACACTTACACATACTGGAACAAATCTGGTCCTGAATGATGTATATGTATTCAGACAGGATGCGTGGTACATACACACACACACACACACCTTCAGCACATTTACATTCATAAAAAAACAAACTGCAGCACAAACAAGCTCATCAGAAGCAGCCATAGCTTGTTAGCTCCTCTCACTAATATGCAGAATAGCTCCGCTCACCCATTTTAGCATCCCACTGACACAAACACAAACAAACACAGTCTTTCCACCGGGGGGGAGAGTGAGAGAAAGAGACGAGGGACAGTGGGATGGATGAAAAGAGCAACGAGGAGCGAGACAGATGGAGCTCCCACTCTCGGTTGACTTCCTCTACATCAACAGTGCCTAACAAACTCGTGGCTGGGACTCACTGAAAATGTGCCCTCGCTTGCTCACTGTGGCTTCTTCAACCACCAACCATCTGTTACCATGGCAAACTATCTGTGAGACTCGTGCTTCTATTGTACCACAGCACTGTCAAGACAGCACTGTACTCTAAAATGCTGAAAAATCACCATCTGTCACTCCAGTTGAGCCTTGTCCTAAGCAGCACTGATCCTCCCGGACCTTTTTTAAAACAACTTTTTAATTGAGAAATCAGAGGATGCAAAGGATGCTAAACAATTGTCTGTACTCTCATCACAGGCTCGCTGGACAAGCCAGGTTGGGATGGAGGATTAACTGTGGCCACAGTTACTGTATGACTGACAGCCCGGAGAAATGAAAATCCTGACAGAAGTCCGCCAACGACATGACCAAAAACAAAAGGTGGACGTCTATGCACACTTGCGTACAGTACACACATTCATCTAACACCAGATCAGCCAGTGGTGCAGCTTGATCCTAACGATACACCAAGACACACCAGGGTTTTTATAAGCTTACAGGTCAAGTGATAAATTTGTTAAATGAGTAACAGCTTAATAGAAATTTGAGCATCAAAAGCAATTTCACTTGCTTAAACCTTTTAACAGTTTTGAACCAGGGTTTTTGATAATGAAGAAATATTAAATGTGAACTGTTTCATTCAATATTTGTAATGGAAAATACACAACATTTAGCTCCACCTAGAAAATTCATTGGACAAAATGCGGTTATTAGAATTGCCATGATATCAAATATGATTAGCATGTACAGAAGAGTAATCCAATAAATCTGTGAAATCTTTTCAATCTAACTGCCAACAAACTATTAGCTATGAATCTGGCAAATATTTATAGTAGCAGTAGCGAATTCTTTACAACCTCGATCTCCACTGCAGGAGAGTGGGACATCACTAAAGTTGAGGTGCAAAAGTTGCTGGGATTGCCATGATATTTAAAGTAAATTAAAAAAAAATTGTAATAATACAATTCATTGGACCGCTAGTAAATTAACATGTTAATGCCCCTCACCTTGCCTTATCTAGACATACAACATGGTGGTTCCCCATTGGACTGATTTACATGATTTAGGAAGCACCTGCGTGCGAAAGCTGTTATAGAAACAAGTTGCCTTGCTGTGTTACAGCAACTTATAACAACTGCCAAAAATAATTACAATAAATTCTACTCCTCATGTCTCAACATAGAAGGATAAGGGATGGAGGGATTCCCATCCAGCTCCATGACCACATGATACACATCCACACACACACCCAGGAAACTATTTAATCCAGTGTCAGGCTGTCAAACAAAGACTGCAGTGTTAACGCTAGTCTCCATCACACGACTGTACTTAGCTCTGATGTGTGATGTGTCTGCTGCCACAGGGATGTCAACAAATGCACACACACACTTACTTGCTGTTAATCCTGCTCATCATGGTGGGGGGACTGTCCGTCTGTCGGTCCAAAGCTTCTTTCAGTACAGTCTTGATTTCCTGCTTTAAAAAAACAAACGAAAAAAAAAACATTCAGTCAATGGGATGACAACAGTTTCCTACCTTCACACATTCACACACACTAAACAACCAGTAGCCAATAGGAGAAGGCCTGCTGCAAATTGACAAAACAATGCAACACCGCCATCAATCACCTTTGCAGACAGTGAAGAGAGAGCGGCAACCGGACGCTTCACCTCCTAACATGTGCCGCAGCCCTTCCTTTACTCCGTCTATGTATATTTCTATCTACCTACCTCCCCCTCCCCCTCCTTCCACCCTGCCCTAAGCCAGGGAAGGCTCTATTTCTAAACTGGCAAAATCAACAACCACAGGGCAATAAAAGGAAGAAGAGAGAAATGTGGGAAGAAAGACAAAGGCTAATGCATCAAACTGTTGCAAGACACTCAAACACAAGGGATGTGAGAGAGAAACTGCCCCAAATCGCTAAAGACAAGAAGGGTGCAATTAGGTCCTTCTGCCTTGTCACTTTCATTGTGTCACTTGTACTAATGGCTAAAGCTCCCACCCACCAGTCTGATTCTCAGCAACCCCCCACCACACCCAGCTCCCTGGTGGGCCCTCTGTCACACACAGAGTAAATATATGTTTTATATTGCACACCCCCTGACACACACATCCATCTTCTGCAAATAATATCTCCACATACCGGCTATACAGAGCTGCAAACATAAAAATGGTGTATTTATGAATACACACTCAAATATACGCTGCCTTCACAAACAGTGACCCACTTATCTGGGTAGTGTGAGATTACCCCACAATAGAGAGTATGTATGTGTGTGCGGGGGCAGAAGGATTAGCTGGAAGCTCCATTGTTGCTGTGCATCTTCCCGCAACGCCATTAGCCAACACACACACACCACATACTTCTCTTTCTGCAGTACATACACACATGGTCATTATACAACAAGGTAACAACAAGCATCAAAAACACACTTGAACTTTTTGTACATCCAGTTTTACAAGTACTGCACCGTGAAGCTGAACTACAGACTCACAGTAACATAAAAAACCTTGTTTGTCTACCTCACAACATGCTGAGTACATTATGTAAGATATGGCATGATTCGAATGTACTCATATACACTCACATGTACACAAGCCTGCCTTTCTTTAATGCCTTAGGATCACTCCATGAATCTAATCCCTGATTGAGAGCACTCCTTTTTTATGCAGCTATAAAAACAGCAGCCCTGCTGAGCTCAACCAGTCAGCTTGCCCCACTCATCATTCACATCTCAACAAGCCAAAAAGAAACATTTGTACCATTCCAGCCCCTAAAAGTAGGTCAGATTGTTCTCTGTGTATCTGTCACAGTGAACCTGTACACTCAGAAGGATCACATCATTTGTACTACTGTATACATATGATTATTACTTTTGCACTTTCATTTACACCTTTAATTATTATTATGAATGTTTTCATTCACTTACTAGCAATAATACACCAACATGTCGAACTCATGTTAGTAGTGCTAGCACTAGGCTAATAGTACCACCTGCAAGCATACTATGATATGCATAACCTACTGGTAGTGACCAAAATGTGTCTGTAGAACCAAGAGTCAAAAACTGACAAGTGCTGAAACCTGTCATCAAATGGCAAATGTCTTGTGCAGGATTTGACACTAGAGAACTTCTTTTGCATAAAATTACATTTATATTGCTCAAAGTAAGATATTAAAAAAGTATTATTGTGGTAACAGCAAGACTGAAGTATTGTATGGTGTTAAAAAATCATAACAATAAGCCTTAGTGGTGTGACTACCACCAACGCTTCAACTGACACTTATTTCCCAGCTGTACTCACACAGTGAATGACACTTTCACTTCTGTCAGTGCTTACACTTGCACTGACAATAACGTCCTTACACACACACACACTCACAATTTGAACTCTTTTCATCACTTACACCGCAAGTGACATTTTCAACCCCGTTCGATGCTTACTCAATGGACTTGCACTTCAACTCCTTTCAGCGCTTTCATTCTGGCTGAATACATCATAACAAATGTATTTCACCAGTGCTCCAAAAATCGGAATTTAAATGTTTCTTCTGCAGTTTTAGAGCAGAAATGAGCACAAGTACGTTTTCTTCAGTTTTGTTTTATGTTTGTTTCTCTTTTTTTTTTCTTCAATGAGTGATTTGAATGCAACAGGAAAATAATTTGTGATACCTGTCTGAAACCCCAGCTGAGTCCAACTAACAGATTGTTAATGTGCTGCACACTGCCATCCATGTTTTTGTGTTTCGGGCGCTGTGTGTAGTCTGAAGTATGTGTGAGTGACACAGTGGTGTGCAGGCATATGAGAGATGAGGTGTGTGGTTGTTGCCAGATGGATGAGTAACGAGGTGTGTGTTTCCTTTGTGTAGTTCTTCTGAGTGCCATAGTCATCTGCTACATGTTAGGTGGTTGAGCAATAGTGTGTCTGTGTATGCGCATGTTAAAGCAGTGTATATGTATACACACTGCAGGATCAAAGATTCAGTGTACCAGCCAGTGATCCCTGACCCTCGTCATGTCCATCACATCAACAACCTGCAGTGCTTGTAACTGCTAGCAGGAAACAACGGTGCATTTTAGTTTGGCTAGTTAAGGTGTGAGCTTTTTGCATCACGGCCGATTCACACATCAACACCAGACAGAGCGTAACATGTTTAACTCTGACTCTTTACTGTGTTAACGTCTTGCATTACTGCACCTATTGAACATCAGCCGAACATGTGGCAGACAACGAGGGAGCGAGAAGAAAAGAGAGGATTTAAAAAAAAAATTTAAAAAAAAACAGTAAAAGGAGAGTGATTAAGGTGACAGGAGCAAAAGAACAAGAACTCAGCAGCTACTGTTGTTAGTAACATTAAAAGTCTAATTTATTAACTTCGAATGTGGCAGGAAGTCCAAATCAATTAAAGGGCCAACTGCATGTTTTCTGATAAAGAGAAAAGGAAAGAGCAAGGGGAGCTATCCATAGACTGCGTGTGAATCAAAGACACAGAGAAGTGGGCTGACCTTGGTCTTCACCATAGCAGGCAGTAAAATCAATTAAAGGGGCAGGGCACTTATTTATCACTCTATCAGCCGTAATTATACCTTATCTAGCTTTCAATACCTCCTCCAAGACAAAAAAGGACAGAAATGTGTGTGTGTGTGTTACTTGTAAACGTTTAAGAGCATGAGTGTGTGGACATAAGGAGGGGATGGTAGAGCAGTGGATGAGTGAGGATGTAGAGATAGTGTATTGATCTATGAAAGTCCACCAAACACAAGACTCAGTATGCCCAGGAGCAGTGATGTCCTCCTCGCCTGTCTCACACACACACACCAAACTCGCACACTTAAAAGGCAACAAAGCAAACCATACAATATTTGTTGAGACTCAGAAAAACCAACTCACAGTGGCTTGTCAGGAAATCAAAATTTTATGGTAATCCCTCCTATAGTAGCTGAGATATTTCAGTCTTGACTAAAGCGGTGGACTTTTTGATGGGTCAACATTTCCATTCATAGAGTCACACACCACTAGTGTGGCTACAAATGGCAACACATCACTAAGGAACACAGACATTGAAAAACTGATCTCCATATTTTGTATGTTAAAGACTTTGGTGATGGGTCTCCGAAGTTTTAAAAAGCCCTCATTCTTATTCACGACAACCAAAAATGCCTTTAAAACAAAGTAAAAGCACAAAAGCAATGATATAGTAACATCTACCAATGAGCTAAAGAGCAGTGACTGGGTTTAAATAAGGCCCCAGAGGCTTGAAGCGGAGCTTCATCTGTCAAGATAGAGATTTGTGTAAACAGTTTTAAGGATATTTTAAATCATCTATAATGAGCCTATTCACTCTGCTCCAGCCATTTGCTGTTTGAAGGCCTTATGTTTAGTTTTTTTTTTTGATATGTGCCTCGTTGTTGCAGCTACCTGACAACTGGGTTCTGCTTAGTCACTGCTTTGTCGAATAGGGGTTTAAAAAAAATACTCACACACGAGTATTGCAATATAATGTTTCGCATACTGTATTGATTCTCAAAAACACAGTATCAATTTAATTAATTAAATTAATTTAACAGTTCATATGACAAATAATGCTATGCTGTTGGATGCTACAGGGACTGTGACAAATGCAGATCCTTGTTCTGACTGCATTCAAAAGTAAATCTTTTTACAGCTGTTAAGCATATGGGGATGACAGTTCTTATAAAATTAGATAAAAAAACTGCAATATAGGGCCTTATTTACCGTATCAGAATATACTGAATCGTAACTCCTGTGTAGTGACGCATATCGTATCCCCAGATTGTTGCCAATACACAGACCCTGCCGGAAAAAATTTCGTTGTGCTCTGCATAATGACAATCAAGATTCTTGACTCAACTAGTGTCAAAAACAGCAATGGTAAACAACAGGAGTCTTTCTTCTCACCTGAGTTTCCCCTCACATGCACAGAGGTGTGATGCTACATAGTCTCTGTCCTGCCCAGCACACACACACAATCACCCAGAGAGGGACAAGAAACAACAACAAACCAAGCCCTCTGTAAAGGCAGGCTGTTTGGAAAAGAAGAAGTGCACTTAAAATGCAGACCCTTTCAAAATACAGCCTGGGGCATGGAGCCGGACCACAAGAGGAAGAATCACTGGGCTTCTCCCTTTGTCTTCAGTGAGGGCATGACACACATCAGAGTCGCAATAGAAAATCTAACTTTCTCTTCTTCAGTTTTCTCCTATCCCAAGTTTTTATGTTTCTCACACTGTACTCACCGGTTCAGGAGACCTCTTGTTATGGCCATCAGGCTGGGGCATAGCTGTCGCCTCAGTGGGTGGGGCCAAAGCAGAGTCACTGCTGCTCCTTACCAACAGAGGTGTGTCTGGGATGACAAAGATAAGAGAGATAGAGAGGATCATTTGCATCTTTTGTTGGCATAGCACTGTAATGCACTTTTTTGTAGTAAATAGTTAAGTTGAAACTCGGCTAACTCTGAACCATGGGCAACTGGCACTACAAGAAAATGGAGCTAGATGAATTATCAGTGCATGATGAGAAAAGCCCTTTATGACTCACAGACTCAGGCCACCAACCTCACCATCCTTCTAGCAATATGCCCAAACACCACACCCACCCACAGTGTACACCTTCACATGACCAGCTGTTGCCTCCATGGCTCCAAACACACATTCACATGCACACACACAAAGAAGCTGGGAGAATGGGCAGGTCTCAACCCACATCAAAACAATTTAAAAGGATCTAATTTGATGTCTCCAATATTTATGGGCGTAAACAGCATAGTTTTCAAATTTAATTTGACAGAGGAGAAAATAAAGATGAGATTAAAAAAGGAAATGTGAGATAAACAAAGGCAAGGACAGAGCTGAGAGACAGTGATGGAGGAAGAGAGGGAGAAAAACTTCAAAAACTGAGCGACACAGAAAGGAAAGGCAAACAAAATTCTCTTCTCTCCTGTAATCAATCTCTCTTTGGGGGGTCAGTGACAGGGTCCTGGTCTAACGTGGTCAGAATAGAGAGAGCAGAGGAGGAGAACAAGTAGGGAAAAGGAATTGGCAACAGTCACGGTGTTTGTGATTACAGACAGATAAAAATGGTCATTCCAACCATTTCAGACACGTTTTCAGCCTCAAACACACCAAAGCAGATGTTCCATCACCTGATGATGTGTTCAGATCTGTCTAAGGAATTATCATAAATCCCTTCTCACGCTCCATCGCTGTGCTTCACACTTTCTTTCTACTAAAAGAGAATGTTAAAAGACACAGTGCTGACTTACTATCACTTATGGGAGGGAACTCTGAGGTGTTGTACAGCTTCAAAATGCTGTTTGTTTGGTTTTTTATTAGGACTCAAGTTTGTTTGCTTTTCTCTTTAGCTTTCACTTTGTTTTTGCTTCGGATGTCATGTACTGTAGAAAATTAGAAACTACACAGAAAACAGTATGATATGTTGTAATGAATGTGCCTTAATTTAACACATAAGCATCTTTTAAAAATATATATAGTCTCAGAGCCATCATCACAAGGCATAAAAAATAGCAGGCAAAACTAACATGTATGATTATCTGTTTATCTTTTGTGTGTCTAAATTAGGTCAAACACTACACATACTTTTCAACAATTGGTTGTTGATTTTAGAGGGACTGTGTTCTTTGAAACTACACAACATTATAAATTATTTCTTCTTCTTTACATTTGCAGGTCATCACATGATAAAGTTGACAAGTAAAGAAGAGCCATGTACTGAAAGCAGTCAAACTTAATGGATAGTTCTTTGCTTTCATTCCTGTACCAACCTGCCTGATACATTAATGGAAACTGGATGCAGATAAAAGCCAATAATTATATGCACACTGAATACCAAGCATTTATTACTGTAGGTTTTGAAAAGGTTAAATACTAACATTGCCAATTTGTTCAGAGCCAGGTTTGCTAAGGTAACACTAAAAAGATTTTGACCCACATGGGAAAGAAGTTGACACTTAACTTTTACACAGTGATAAACTGCACACCACTAAATCAAACCACAAGGACAATAGGTAAATTAGGTGCTACAGCAAAAAAAGCTGGAGGACATAATAATAATATGGAATCTGTAGATTTTATACATACTGAATGATAAATGGTAAGCAGCAACTTATTTCCACAGTGGTTATAATAGATTCTCAAAATGAGCTCTACAAATAGGCCACATCATCTCTCTCTCTCACACACACATTCACACACACACACATCCTTCATCACAATGTCAATGATGCAACTTTGTGACGTGACCAAGGCTGCTCCATGGTCACAGTCAGGGTCCATTACCCAGTAGCCAGCCTCCATAAATCCTCCTCCGTTATCCACTGGAGTCAGATCTGCCTCCATCAATCCACCCACCACTTAAATCCCTGGTGCTGGACCCTGTCACGTAAAGGAACCTGAGGGTCACTAGTTTTGACCTCTGACCTGTGGTGACCCGTGAAGGGTTAAGCGGTGTCACTGAGGGTCATGGATATTGATGAGAGTGACAGGTCAGCCACCATTTGGATGGTCATACACAAGATTGCCTCAGAGGAATTACTATTCAAGAGCGGCTGGACCAGTGGACATGGGCTTTGGCATCATACCCTGCAAACCTGTTTACATGCCTGAAAATAGTAGCATGTATCCATATGCAACCTCATTGAGCTATTGATTATATTTCACCCTGCAGATGATTTTGGTGCCTCCATCAACCACACCCCCAGTCCTAAACGGCACAGAGCAGCTGAAATGCCAGAATACATCAGAGGTGGCAGCTTTAGAAAAGGTCAGCTCACCCTTTCACATTATTCACCCTGAATATTCAGATTCACTTTCCCATTTAGTCATCGGTCACATAAAAATTTGATACATCATAAAACAACATCATAAGTTACTGAATCTAAAATAGTAATTTCACCAAATGGTTCTTCATCTAAAGCAGGTCATGCATTTGATCAAATGATAAAAAAATGAACTTAAAGTCCTGGGTCCTGAATTCAGTCTAAAACAAAAGCAGTAGTGTGGCATATGTAGTCCTCAGATTCATGCCCTCTGTGTGCAGTCTTATTTTAATATCACAAACATTTTCTGACTTTAACAAGCACTCTCCTACCACAAGGGTGGAGAAGAAGGGGAAGCACTGAAATGTGGGATGTATTTTAGGTTTGCTAATTTGATGGACCAGTGCAGCCACAACCGCTTGGTGCCCTGCAATGTTAAATAGACCCCACCCATCCAACTCATCTTAGCGGCTACTTCAAAGACAGAAAACAAATCTCAACACACTGTAACACACCCAAGATATGGACTTCCCTAATCTTCCTTTTGAGGCCTGTGTAATTGGAGAGACCTTGTGAACACTGCTAGTTCTGTGTTTATCTGTCTCCGACTCTCCATCTGCAGCTTTCTGGCTAACTAGGCTGCTTATGCAATTCTGGGAACACAAAGGTTTATTTTAAGAATTTCCTCTTGTTTTCAGTTGTGTGAAAGTTCTGTTAACGCTGCAATGCTAGTTCACTGCCAGGGCAGGGCGAAAACACGAATGGATCATGTTTCTGACTGTGTGTGATTGTGTGTGCGTTTATGATCTGTATGTGTGTCAGGGGATACACATCAATCAGTGTGGATGCCTTTGAGTTTGCATGTGTAAGCATGTGTGTTTAGTGTGTGTAGTACATATATTACCAACAGTGGCTGTGCTTTGCTTCTCTGTGTATTTATATTTGTGACGGTGTGCGTGCTTTCATGCCACAGGCCAGGGTGGTCTTGTTTCTTTGGCAATCGATAGAACAGCCGGGCTCATACCGCTCATGGGATGATGTGATAAGGACTCTTCCTTGGTGTGTGTGTTTGTGTGTGTGTGTGTGTCTGTGTAGCAGTAGATCAATCCAGGTCTAATCATCCCACTGGGGCAGCGTGAGGTCCAATCACGCTGTACAAACAAGTGGCCCAACCTGACACACAAAAACTTAGATTACTAAATTACTTCCTGTCCTGCATGCCACCACACAGTGCGATTACATGTACACTATAACCAGATTATCGTGAATAATCAGATGAAGGTAGGAGTGAGATTAAAGCACTCACATGGGTTGCAGGAAGCCAATTTCCCCAATAACTACAGGCTACATGATTGGTTGATAAATGGCTAAATGTGTTGTAGCCTACATGACACGTCCTGTTATCCCACAGCTGCTAGCCACATTAAATATGATTGGCACTTGAGCACAATAAGGTTATATACATGCCACAGCTAAACTGCAAGATTCAAGATGTGTTTAACATCATTTAATAATGGAGTTAACTTGTTTACATCTGTGACATCTGCAGTACAACATGTTTGTGCATGTGTCACACAACTGTAGTTTTTTCATCTATCAAAGGGGACACTGCATTACGGACACTGATACCAGAAAGTAATGTACGCTAGTACAATGAACCGTTAGCTAAAATGCTAACTTTAAGTTTAAGACTTGGCTTTGAATCGATTATACATTTTATTGAGAAGAGTTTCTGATAGCTGTGAAAAGCATGCTTTTTTATTTAATAACTAAGGGTTAGTTTATAGCACAATTAATAATCAGAGGAGGTTTGTAATATAAAACTACTTTTTGTGACCACTTTCTTTTAACCAATTTAAATGTGCAGAATTTTGTACGACTTGACGTGGAGTAGGAACTTGACTTGCTTGATTCTCACCACAGTAACATGGGACTTGCTTGAGACTTGAAGGTTAAGACTTGAGATTTGCTTGGGACTTGCACATGTGTGACTTATTCCCAATTCAGTCAAAATCTCTCTTCTTCATCTGATTTACTGCACCCATCACTGTCTCCCAATCTCCAGAATTGATGATATGGTCCACAGACTAAATGTGATGTAGCACAGTTAACAACCAATCTTGTTACAACACAAAGGAGAGCAAACACACTTGGAAACACACTCCTTTAAGACCACTCCAGTGGTGCATAGGTGATCGCTTTGTGTGTGCTGAGTTGTTTAACTTGCACATTGGGTTCTTTTGTTATATTATGCGTGCATGTATGCACATGCATGTCTGAATGACAAAAGCGGTCTCAGTGCATCAGTCTGACTCTGTATGAGGGGCGTCACAGGATCACATCATAACTAAGTTGGTCAGGGTTCAACAGGGCTGGAGAGCATGATGGGGGTGGGGGCAGTAGAGGTCCCAATGGGTTAAAGACAGGGTGGAACGGGGGTGTATGTGTGGGATGGGGAACTGGAATTAGTCCACTCACGCTTGGCTGGATCCTGGACAAGCTAACAGGCTACAGTGCTAATCTAGTTATAGGTGGAAGCCATGCAGAGACTGGAGGAACAGGGGAGGATGGGAGGCTGGGCTAGAGGAGGTATGGGGGGGTCAATAGGTCAAGGTCTGGGGGTGGGGGATTGTGAGCTGGATGGCAGGTGGTTGAAGCCAAATAGTAGCAGCACTAGGTTAAAAAAAATAGGGAAGGGACAGAAAATGGGACATAGAGCAAAAAACAGGCAGAGAGAGAGATGGCAAAGGATGTGTGGCTCCATGTGTGTATGAGGGCACCACAGTGTTTTCTATAGCCAGCAGATGGTGAAAGCAAAATGAAATGGGTCCCACGGTGGCCAAGTGACTAGACTAACCCTTGTTGACTGACACACAGACTCATTTGATCTGTTCTTGTCCTTCATCTTACACTTGGCCTCTTCTTCTTCTTCTTCTTATTCACAAAGTAATCAATGCAAAACAGTGGTATAGAAAAGAAAGGCATGCACAGACAAAACACTCTAGGTTATTCACAGTAAAATGTATCTTTAGCCAGACTGTAGCCAAGGCAGCAAATATTTCTCTAGAGGCTCCTTTAGGCTTCGGAGTGACAAGTCTTTTAGTGATATTTCCCTCTGGAGACGCACCATCCTCTCACCCTACCTCTTGACTGCAACCAAAGTAAGTAAAATTGCCATTTGTTGTTCATTTAAAAGCTGCATTTTTATATCATCTGCACATGCACTATTTGTCAAACGGTCATTCTCACTTAGCTTTCAGTGTCTGCCCCGATGAAATGACCATGATCAAGTCACTGAACTGCTAACAGCATTAGACGCGTTATGTTTTCTTACCCTAACCCCTGACTTTACAAGCAAACGGAATTTCCCTGCAGCAATTTAGTAGACAAGGAAAATAATTATTTATTACTACAACACTTCTCTAGAAAGGACAATAACTTTAAGGACATGGGAATTTTTGTTTTGCATCTATGCAGTCAATACAGCATGACTGAATTTACTTCTTAAACAAAACAGCATGACATTGAAAAATTAAGATCTTCTGTTGCTGCATTCATTTACATTTGCTCTGTAAAAGAGCACGAACTAAATGCCAAAAATATAAATGCAAATGCAAGGCAAACACAGAACAGGAGGAGGAGGG